CAGAAAAAGCATACTTTTTCCAAAACACCCCAAACATACCCTACACATACATAAAACCCCCACAAAAGTTAATCCCCTGATAGCCCTGATCTGGGTGATCAACATATCCAAAAATCACCCAGATCAATTCAGGGGTTCAGAAATTTCCTGGAAGTCATTTGTTTGACTGACATCACGCATGGTCCCATGCCCAAAACAGTTCCATAAATTTAGGGCTAGCGGTTGGTCTAGTTCGGTAGTTTAAAAATTAACAAACTACCGAACATAGTCAATGGTCTCAGATGAACAATTCCACCGAACAGTGCCCTTCCAACTTGTGTAGAACCGAACGCAGGCGATGATGGAAATCCAGCAGTATTCGGGATATTCTGTGTCCGATTTTAGTTCCATGAGATTCATGCCCAAACACCGCTGCCTGCGTTCATGCGAACAAAATGGCCGCCACCTCGTGGTCGTCCATAGGAATTGCGGCCACCCAGATGAACACTTAGAACACTGAGGTGGAAATTCTTATTATGTAGCAATTAGGCTTAACAAGCTCCAGGGTGGTCTCTGGTTCGTGTGGCTGTTCGGTTCCTGAACCACAAAATCCAAATACACGAACGGAGACTTTTATATGACATTATACAAGGTCCATAGTCTGTGGGCAGGAGGCTGGCAAGCAGGCTTCTCCAGGAACTTGTGGCAAACTCACTTAAAAAGGGGAGTTTGTCACGCGGAGATAGCCGGGAAGAAGCATTAATGGTACTATTGTGGGCGAACTCTGCTCAGAGTAGCAGATCAGACCAGTTGTTCTTGTGGTCCGAAATATAGCAACGCAGAAACTGTTCCAAGGTTTGGTTAGCACGCTCAGCTGCACCATTGGATTGTGGGTGGTAGGCAGAGGAGAAGGAAAGCTGAATTCCCATTTGTGTACAAAAGGCTCTCTAAAATCTGGCCACAAACTGGCTACCTCTATCCGAGATGATCACTTTGGGTAACACATGTAAACAAAAAGACCTCCCGAGCAAAAATCGAGGAAAGCTCTTGAGAAGTAATTTTTTCAGGGGAATGCAATGCAACATCTTAGAGAATCGGTCAACAACCACGAGAACTACCCTATTGCCACGAGAGACTCAAAGATCCACAATAAAATCCATTAACAAGTGAGTCTAGGGTCGTTCACCATTAGGTATAGTTTGCAAGAGACCCACTGGAGGGTGTCGTGGGGTTTTACTTTGAGCGCTGTGATCCTTGTCTGCAGGTAGCACGGTCCTCTTGGGCACAAACATGCACAGACTTTTAAGGCAACTTCATTCCAGGCACTTTATTGTTAAACTCCACCACAGATACAGCAGCAAATGAATAAAGCAGTAACACAAATCCCTATAAACAAAAACCTAGCTCGGTCTGAGCACTGACATCAAATCCCCTATCTCTCAAGGGTTTAAACTATAACAGAACAAGAATTGGTTTCACCAACCTAGTGCCTTTGTCAGATCTCTGCACTCCACACTCAGTTAGCATATGGCTTCCATTCCTTCTAGAAAGAAATACAATTCTCTCTCCTTTCCGCACTCCAGTGCTCCAAGCCAGCCTTGATTGCTTTCCTTCTGCACTTCCAGTGCTCCAAGCCAGCCTTGACTGCTTTCCTTCTGCACTCCCAGTGCTTGAAGCCGGCCTTAACTGTTTTCATTCTGCACTCCCAGTGCTCCAAGCCAGCCTTAACTGCTTTCCTTCTGCACTCCCAGTGCTCCAAGCCGGCCTTAACTGCTTTCCTTCTGCACATCCAGTGCTCCAAGCCAGCCTTAACTGCTTTCCTTCTGCACTCCCAGTGCTCCAAGCCAGCCTTGACTGCTTTCCTTCTGCACTCCCAGTGCTCGAAGCCGGCCTTAACTGTTTTCCTTCTGCACTCCCAGTGCTCGAAGCCGGCCTTAACTGTTTTCCTTCTGCACTCCCAGTGCTCCAAGCCAGCCTTAACTGCTTTCCTTCTGCACTCCCAGTGCTCCAAGCCAGCCTTAACTGCTTTCCTTCTGCACACCCAGTGCTCCAAGCCAGCCTTGACTGCTTTCCTTTCTCCACTCCCAGTGCTCCAAGCCAGCCTTAACTGCTTTCCTTCTGCACACCCAGTGCTCAGTCTCCTTGACTCTCTCACAGGAGAGAATAGCGTCTCTCCTACCTGCTTCCAGGGAGGAAGCCAGCAATCCCTCTTTACCTTCCTAGCAGGGAGGGGTTTATTCCCACTGCTTGTTGGGGATAAAATCAGCCTGGGCCCTTTGTGGATGATGGATATTTGCCAACTCATACAGAGCTCTGGAAATTGGAAATGAATAGCAGAGACGTGTTCAATAACCAATTCAAATTGTATTCATACGTCAGTTATATTTATACCCCATTTTCATAGCAGGATGGGAGGGGGGAAAATGAGCATATGGGCGTGACAATGACATTGTTTTTCACAAGTTATAAACATCTGTTTTTAGTTATAATTCGATGTTACATAATGTATGCATATTGGATAAAACCCAGATGATTACAAATACCGAAATCTTGGACAATTAACAAGGTCATTCCAGAATCCTTATCATGTCATGTCATGTCATGTAAATAACAAAATCATGTTCCAATAACATTTCCCGTAAATAGATAAGTCATTGTGACATGAGATACAATTCCAAATTTATTCTTGATTCAAATTAACCCTTACATGAACAGTTAGGATATAGAGCAAAATGGATATTCATATCCTACAATTCCTCTCTTTAGATCATATCGTGATCTACCTTATGGAATATCCATGGGAGGCCTGCGGCAGAGAAACGAAAGGAGGTATATTCAGACGTGCTAATCACGTCTGCGGGACTTTCCTTATTTCTTCACCTCGATTTCCCCCATTTGCTCTATGCCGTAGGTTTTCCCTTTAAGAGGAGATCGAGCTGTCGATTTTCAGCTTCTGTAATCATCTGTTGTACACATCTTTTAAGTGTACAAGTTAAATATTTCAAACAGCTGACATCTTAACTGCACATCATGTTATCTGTAACTTGAGCCTTGGATCAAAACAGGCAAAGTGTATTATTCCTAACAACGGGAATATTATTATTATAATTCACAACGTAAACACATATAATCAAAAATGGGAATAAAATCTATTTCCCCTCTTTGGACCAGGGTCTTGGATAACCAGTCCACCCAGTGAACTTGGGCCAGGTCAAAAATCCCAGTGGCAAAAACTCATAATTGAGAAAAAAAGCACATCTGGGTAAATTCTAAGTGAGGGCCATGACTGTGTAAACATGTCATCCCCTCACGTTGACAGCATTAGTGACTTATAAAACCTGCACTATGTAAGTAAATAGCTCAGGTATCGGGATTGGGAAACACTTCTTGATTAGTTTGAAAAGGCCACTTACATATTAAATCATAAGATCATTTCTAATCAGTTTGCAATTCTAGCAATAATCCCAATCATGACCTTGCGTCCTATGCTTCCTAATCAAATCCCTATTTCGATAGTCCAGTCATATCCACACTTAATACCTTGGAATCCATCCTTGGTACACTCAACATACATCAATGACACACATAGTACATCCATGCCTGAGTAAGCTAACACTTCCTCTCTCTCCGGCTAACTCTACAAAAATAAAAATAACAAAATAGTTCAATAGTCCAGCATAGTCCAGAAAAATATTATAAGTCTTTCAAGGAGTATAAAGAATCTTAGACACCATAAACTTTGTTCCATAATCTTAGACACCATAACATAGCTAAGGGTAGCAATATGGCTGACAACAAGACAATGTCAGCTTCCACATAGTTCTTAATTCTTCTGTTTGCTGGATGTTCACCACAATACTCTGTGCAACACCCCAATTGTTGAAAGGGTAATACAGAAATAGCGGCATTAGACAGCACTGCATCTTCAGGACTTTCCAAGTTAGTTTATGTCCTCATAAGTAAGCATCTCAGTTTCTTCGGCCAGCATGGTTTTTGACCAAACAGATTTAATTGCAAAAAAAGGTAGGTCAGCCAGAGAGATTGGTGTGTAGTCCCAAATATCAGGCAGCACAAATACTCCAGTACGGTCTCTATAATCATACAAACACAAGGATCAGTACGACATCAATAAATTAATTATCTAGGCTAAACTCAAATTAGAGACTAAAGTTAAACTCTTAACTAGTGTAACATGTACGTCTCTCAGTTTTGTTTATGTCCTTTATAAAATTTTAATACATAATTTCCCTTTAAAATGCCTTGTATGGATGAGAGAAGCACTCATTCTATATAAATGCTTGTTGAGTACTAAAACACTAACATATACATATTGGTATAATTCCCAATAAAATGCTGTTCTTAAACTTAAACCTTGATTTGATAATCTCAATTAATTACTTTAATAAAATTTTGTGGACCCTGATAACATCTTTGGAAACCGAAACCTTTTATAGATCCCGATGTGTGTGATCATGTTTTAATACATGTTGGAACCTCCATACAGTTATCCCACTTAAACAATATATTTTTTTCAGAACAACTAGGAATGAAATAGGAGAAACAAAATAAATTACTATTGTTCTAAAGTGCTTTGTTTAATACAGGTTTAGGAAGAGTTGTCTTGCTGTGTTGCAAGTGGCCTCTGATAAGGAAGGGATAGCAAACTGTAGACATATGTTATATTAAGTTGCTCTCACTTGTCAGGTCTTGGAAACCCACTTAATTTATTGCAGATGCCTCTATTATACCACTTTACAAATTGACTAAGCATACTTATTATCCTATTTTATTTTAGTTATTTCACATTGCACAGCCTATGCAAACAATGTCTAGGTCCCAACTTCAGCTTGTACATCCTCTAAGAGCCAGCATTAATACTGTTTTATCTATCAAAACTATATATAAAGTATTAAAAACATGAACCATCTGTGTATTAGGCTGAGGTTGTTGGGTGTGGGTATAGCTTGAAAGTTGTGGTTGGTATTGAGGAACCTGCCAGGGTGGGAGTCCTTGAATGCCAGCTGGGCCAGGTTGACCAGGAGAACCGGGTTCACCACAAGCACCTTTGGGTGAATCCATGCTATCCATAATTAAAACAGTGCTGAAGTTACCATCTCTACAAAAGTTAAATCCTTTGATCAAATTCTCTACCTCTGCCTCTAAAACTTTTCTGATTCAATCTATCACCTCCAAACTTTCTTTGTCTCGCCTGCTTAAGATCACAATCATTTTGTGACCGATACAACATACTTTTCCCTTTTTCTTTATATCCAAAACAACCTGCTGTATCTTTCTCATGAATCTTCCCAAGAAATTCAGTTGGGGTCAAAGAGGGCCAGTCACAGACCAACAGTTTGACCAAAAGTGAACAAGGAGGAAGCATATTCCATATGAAGGTCGAGATGACTTAACTCACACCCCCTCTTTGTGTACACCTATTTGTGTACCACACAGATATAATATTAATAGGCTTTTGAAGATTTATTGTGCATGTATAGCACGGTCTAGGGGTGTATACATAAACAGTGAAAGCAGAGTCTTCACATAGGGTTTGCAATACTGACAGTCTGTGTCATAGGTGTAATACAGACATGCGGTTAGGAACTTTTCCATTGTCAGAACACTAATATATTGCAAATATTAAAATCATATTGCAGCTGTTTCCTATACCTGCAAGGATATGGTTTTAATACTTCAATTGAGTTCAAATTGAGTATCAAAAATTCTAACCACAAAAACTAAATTTTATATGCTTATCAAAATGAGTTTAACCCCTTAGCAATTTAATAGGGTGACCTCTTCCCATAGTATGGTTCCTTTTATTATTATTATATTATTTATTCTCTTCTGGGTCTGCAAAATGCTTTCAATATACCAATACAAATATAATACAGTAGTTTAGAATTGCCTCAAAAGAAATTATCTGATCTCTATTAAAAATACCATTTCATCATTTTCCTATAATCAATGAGGCATACTAGATGAATCTTAATCTTGGAAAAAACCTATCCTATACATCCATAATTTTTCTTGTTATATAACCATATAACGTAACACATTTTTCTTTTCTTAAATAATGCAATGCACTTTAAAAGTAGCGTTAACTCTAAATACTCCCCTAATAATACTGAAACGTGGATCCACGATTTTGAAAAGCAAATGATATATTTTTTCTTTTTCTTTCCCAGGAGCCCCTTTCTTGTTGGCTGATCAGCGTTTTTTTAATCTGTTGTAAAAAGACACTAAAGGCTTGTGTTAATGACATGCAAATATTCTTTAAATAATACTCATTGTAATATCACACATCATCTTATAGCACAGAAAACATGTAGCAGATATCCAGCAGACATGCCAATACCAAAAGCATATTCATGGACAGGCAATTAACTCAATCCAAAATAAATTAATAAATGTCACACTATGTGACGGACATAATTTGGTTCTCATGTTTGTGCATTATGCATGTCTGCAAACAATGCAAGCAGTACTGCTTTAAGATTAGATCAGAGCACCTGGCAACTGGACAGGAAAGTCAAATTTTGGCAGGAAGTCCATTATTGCAACAGAATTTTGGAAATCAGCTAAAATTTACAAAAACAGACTCCCTCTTTTTTTCTTTCTTAAGACTACAACTCATATTGCTCTTGGACAAGTATTCAATAATAAATCAGTTGTTTAATAGATTATTACGCTGCCATTTTCATCTGTATCAATACTAAGACAAACTTATTCAAATATAATTTAAAATAACACAGCAAAATACCCATTAACATACATGACAATTAAACTGCGCACTTCAAAATGAGTACCCAAAACAAACATTTATGACAATCATCATTCACACAGAATAAACTTCTAACAGCTGTATTCAGAACATATTATTGTAAGGTATACCAATTTTAGTTTGTATTGGATTTATTTAAGAGTTCTGGTACCAAAGGGTTTTTTTTTTTAAAGAAGGGATCCCGTACGGCCATATAACGCGTTTGACTTAAACATTTGTATAACACTTGCATTAACCAGTTGCAACATATGTACCCTGTCAATAGAATTTCTCTCTTATACGCTTATAGAACATTTGGACCAGATTACACAGACATGGTATCACCTGCATTTGTCAGAACTCTCAAAGACTCAAAATATTTATACTACTCCATGTTAAAGGCATGGCAAAACTTTGACCGGTCAATTTGAGTTTCCAAAAGTCATATCAACACAGGTAAAAACCTTTGTCCATGGTTTTCTGATCCTACATTCCATGACCAAAATTTCAAACCCACTTCTTCACAGTTTGGGTCGCAATCAATAAAATCTCAGCAACCCCATACAATAATTTACAGAATACATACAATTTAAAGCACATACAACATGTGACGTACTGGAATACTACAAGTTAGCTTACAGCACAATATGAAGCATGTGTTGGACCGCTGAAAATATACATTTTGCTCTCTAATTCATAATCATCTAAATTTACAACATAAGTTCTCTGCAACAAACACTCAGGGCAGAAAGAATGTGGTGTTTGACGTTTTGAATGAAGTGACTTTTTGTCCCAATATGAAAATAAAGGGCTCATCATATAAACAATCATACATCCCACTCTCATGAAAAAGTGTAGTGGGCTTATAGTACTTTTGACCAAGTATAAAAATAAGGGGCTCATTATGCAAACAAACATACATGCAGAGAAATCATGTTAGTTCTAGAATTTGTAGCCCCCCTTAAATAACCTCTAGTTTTTTTCTTATTCCTCATCACCATTAGATGTACTTTTTACATTCCCTCAATTAAGACTTTATGCTTAAAATTAGCGTTGCACATCATAAAATAGCACATAAATTAGCAAGCCGGAGTAATGCCAAACATCCATCATACCTTTTAACCCCCCTTTTTTTTTTTTTTTAATAACCATTTTAGTCTGAAAAATTGACATCTACGTTAAATAAATACCACAGTCCACCAAAGACTGGAAATCTGTTTTACAACCTACCAAAGGCAACCTCTACCAAAGAGGGATCTAGGGACGTCTCCCATATGTAAGTGTACATCACAGGTACATCACAGCCTACCAAAGGCTTGAAATTATTTTTAACACCTGGCCAAAGGTGAACCTCTCACCAAAGAGGAAATGTGCACAATAACTACTACTACCTACCAAAGGCAATCCTCCAACCCATGGAGTAATAGAAGCCTACCTACGACTTAACAAAATACCATGTCTACCAAAGACATTATCCTGTGAAAATCCCCTTTAAAAATGTAAATAGTGAAAAACCCCATTAAAACAAGAAATGCAATGTGTGGGAGAATGGCAGAAGCAGGCAAAGGTCCCCAACCCCTTAAGGACACACGACAGAAATACTCCGTCATGATACCCTTAAATTCCAGAAGTTGTGTCCCCAAGGGGCTAAAGACCCCCTTACCTGCAACTCCGTTCCTAATTGCACCCAAACTTCTGACACCAGTTTGTTGGGGATAAAATCAGCCTGGGCCCTTTGTGGATGATGGATATTTGCCAACTCATACAGAGCTCTGGAAATTGGAAATGAATAGCAGAGACGTGTTCAATAACCAATTCAAATTGTATTCATACGTCAGTTATATTTATACCCCATTTTCATAGCAGGATGGGAGGGGGAAAAATGAGCATATGGGTGTGACAATGACATTGTTTTTCACAAGTTATAAACAGCTGTTTTTAGTTATAATTCGATGTTACATAATGTATGCATATTGGATAAAACCCAGATGATTACAAATACCGAAATCTTGGACAATTAACAAGGTCATTCCAGAATCCTTATCATGTCATGTCATGTCATGTAAATAACAAAATCATGTTCCAATAACATTTCCCGTAAATAGATAAGTCATTGTGACATGAGATACAATTCCAAATGTATTCTTGATTCAAATTAACCCTTACATGAACAGTTAGGATATAGAGCAAAATGGATATTCATATCCTACACTGCTGCATCTGATTATCTGCAGTTGAGCAGTGGGTTGGAGACAGATCAAAACTTTGGCCTGGAACTTTTTTCTCCCAGTTGTATGCAAACTGCGGAGTGGAGCATTGGCCCACCCTGCTCTCCAAATGTTCCACCCCAGGGCCCCATAACTAAACTTTGGTTTGTGTTGCCTACAACACATACTACACAAACTCCCCCTGGGGTTAAATGTTATAGGCCTATCTGCTTTCACTTTATCACAGTGCACACAGGACAGGCAGCTACAAAAGCGGTGACATCCGAACGGAGATTAGGCCACCAAAATTGTCGTGAGACAGACCAGATTAACTAGTTTTTGCCTGGATGTCCAGCTGCCTTGGAGTTGTGATATGTTTCTAATAATTTGTACAGGAGAGTACAGGTACAAAACAACAACCACTAGGTTTCTCTGGAGGAGCATTAACTTGTGCAGCCAGCATTTCCTCGCCTAGGGGTAAGATGAGATTAGTACGGATAGTGGCTAGTATTCGGTCTGGAGGAATCACAGGAGTAGGAGTTATCTCCTCCCTAGATGGAGGAGAAGACTGTTGAGACAGGGCATCAGCCCGAATGTTCTTAGTACCGGGCAAATAGGAAACCACATAATTGAATCTTGATAGGAAGAGAGCCCATCTAGCTAGCCAAGGGGAAAGTTGTTTAGCTTTGCAAAGATAACAAAGATTCTTGTGGTCCATGAGAATGAGAATTGGCATGGAAGTACCCTCAAGAAGGTGCCTCCATTCTTTGAGAGCTAAAATTATAGCTAGGAGTTCTCTATCACCAATCTGGTAATTGCATTCCGCCGGGTTCAATTTCTTTGAGAAATACCCGCACAGGTGCATGGGTTAGGAAGTTGAGACAGGAAGGTGCCTACTCCTGTCTCAGATGCATCGACTTCAAGAATGAATGGTGTGACCCACAAAACAGCAGCACTTCTGCCCACAGTCACCGTGGCTTGACTGGGGCCCTGGAACCGCTCCTTCCTGGAGCTGAATGGGGAATTCACTCTGGACACTCCCATGCACTGGACGACACTCAGTCCTGGGAGCTCTAGTCCTTACAAGGACTTTCCTTGTTAAATCCCCTGCAAGCTGGAACAGCAGACACAGGAGTAAATCTTCTTTCCCTCCAATAACAGGACAACACAGTTTTGGAGTATAACCTGGAACAGATTTTAATGGAGGCACACCTGGCCTTTTATGCAAGTCCCCAAGCAAGGGGTATGCCCACATGGACTTTGTTGGGGATAGGGACACAAACTTACAAACCAATAATAACACCTTTACAATGTAAGGCACTCCCACACATGACACACAATTGTATAGGGGAGCGGGTATATGGGAGATGGTATAGGGGAGATGGTATAGGGGAGATGGTATAGGGGAGATTGTATAGGGGAGATTATATAGGAAAGAGGGTATAGGGGAGAGGGGAGAAGGTGTA